AAACTTTTCTAGCAAAATTTATGAAAAATTTTTAAAAAATTACAAATTGAAACTTCGGGGGACCCTAGACCAGATTCAAAACTTTTTCTAAAGTTTTTTAAAAGCAGATCAAGGTTTTAAATAAAGTGTCCTCTTACCAAGACTTATTTCTACAAATGTTTCTAGTTAAATTTCAGGAGAATAAAAACAAATTACATTTTGACTCCCTGGGGGGACACTAGACCAGTTTCAGACTTTTTCTTAAGGTCTTTAAAAGCCGATGAATGTTTTCAATTAAGTGTCCTTTTATAAAGACTTATTGTTATAAACATTTCTAATAGAAATTATACTTTGTATCCCCCAGGGGAAACTAGACCAGTTTTGCCTTTAGTAGGCAGTTTAGCGTACACACACTTTTATTTTATTGTTTTCTCTTTTGTAAACCACGTTTTAAATAAAAATCTTTGTTTTTAAAAGATATTTTTTGACAGTTTTTTTACAAATTAACTTTTTAAAATAGAAAAATAATTTATATTAAATTTAAAAAACAAAAATGCAATACAATAACTTTAACATAAAACTAATAAAAAAAGAAAATATATATTTGTTTTTTTTTTGTAGCTTAAGACACAATATAAGAAAAATATATTTAAAAAAGAAAACGATAAGAAAACAAAAGAATGTATAACACCCAAAAGCAAAGCTATAAGAAACTGTAAAAAGTTTTTTTTCAGTAATTTTTGTTTAAAAACGCGTTTGATTTATTTTTCGGCTGTCGGCTTTCCCCTTTACACATTGTTTGCACGTTTTTTTTTGTACAATTATTAAAAAAAAAAATAAAAAAATTTAAACAATTTTTTTCTACAAACAAATGAACTGGAACAAAAAAATAAAATTTTATTTCAACGTACAATTTTGAAATTGTAAATTATATATAAATATTAATAAAAAAAATTAATTAAAATTAATTTATAAAAAAAATTTTCCCCACAAAAAAAAAAACATTAAAAATAATAATAATGATAATTGTTTTATGTAAACTTAAGCGTACTATTTTTTTTTTGTATTTTTATAATTATTGATTATTTTTTTTTTTTAATTTTGCAGCTTAAAATGATTTTTTTTTTAATTATAAAATAAATTATACAAAAATTATTGAAAGAAATAAAAAAAATCATAAAAAATTAAAGTTTGTATTAAAATATTAAAAGAAAACCACACAGTTTACTATATGTTGTAGCTTATACGTTAAACAACAATTAAATTAAAAAAAACAGCCTCGTCCTTTTGCTCGAAATATTAATAGAAAAATTAAAAGAAAAATAATAAAAATAATTTGACCAATTTTATTAAAAAAATCCTTTCATTTACCCATAAAATTGGTTAAACATTATCCTTTAAAAAACAGAAAAATTTAGCTAATTACACAATTTTTCATTAATAAAAATGAAAAACAAAAATTAAGGGAAATTATATTTAAAAACAAACATAAAAATATAAATTTAAATTAGTTAACACAAAAAAATAAAATAAAAATTATTACAAAAAAAAATTATACAAACATTAATAGTAAACAAAATATTGCAATTTTAAAGAAAAGTATTAAAAAAATAATATTTTTCTTAAAAACCAAAATAAAAAAAATCAATTAAGTTGAAAAAAAAAATATAATTTTCTTTAAAAAACTTTTTACTTTGTTATATATTATTGGCGTGATTATATTAAATATGTTTAAATACACAACAAAAAATATTTTGTAAAACTCTGCAGTAGAGAAAAATTAGCAGAAAAAGAAATGGTCCTTAAACCCCAAAGGTTTTTGGTTTAAATTAAAAAAAATATTTTTTTTTGGAAAACTTATATACAGTAAAGGAAATTTAGCAAAAAAAGAAAATGTATATAAAATTACTAAGCGGTCTCTAAACCCCCTTGGGGTACTTGGTACTTATTTCAAAAAAAAGTAGCTTCATTAATTAACACATTTTCCTAGGCCTACAATAAGAAGAACTGCTTTTTTATTCAATTAAAGGCAACTTATATAAATTGTGGTCTGTTAACCCCCAGGGGTTCCAAAGAACCTCTTGAAAATTATTAAAACAATATTTTAGTTTAATTTCTAAAGAAAACTGCAACTTTCTGTTCAAATTTTATTCGAATCTAAACAATTTGCACTTTAAAAACTTCCCGCCTCCTGAGGGGACTCTAGACCAGTTTTAATGCAAAAAGAATAAATGTCTTCAAATGACATTTCAAATACTGGATTCTAGTTTATTTACGACCTTATTCCCATAATCAAAGGAATTTTTTAATTTATTATTGAGATTTATAACAAATTGCATTTTAAACCCCCCGGGGCACTCTAACCAGATTCAAATTTGTTCAAATATTGAAATAGCTTACACTATCTAAAGTTGTTTCTCAAAATAAAAGAAGAAACAACTAATTGAACTAAACTTTGGGTTCTGAGAGGTCAAAGGTCAACTTCGTTTTGGATATCCCTAAATACTTAAGGTGATGCTGTGGTATTTTGAACCCATAGAGAGTAATTTTAAATGTCCAGAATTTATAGAAAATTTTAATTTTTTTAACGAGAATTATAACAAATTATACCTTAACCTCCTGGGGGGACACTAGACCAGATTCAAATTTGTTCAAATATATTCTAAAAATAAAAGAAAAAACTACTAATTGACCTAAATTTTCGTACGGGGTTCTTAGGGGTCAAAGGTCAATTTCATTTTGGTTATCTCTGAATACTTAATATGATTCTATTGACCCACAGGGGTTTTTCAAAAAAGACCCCCGGGGGGACCTGTGGTAATATTGAGTGAAAATGTTCGAGTTTGTTTAGATAAGCATGAAATTAAAAAATTATCTAAGAAGAACCTTTGAAAAATTATCCAAAATTATCTTCAGCAATATGAAATAAATTTTAGTTTTTCTTTTGAGACGATGATAGAAAAGCCTTGGAGTTTAGTTTAAAACATAAAAAAGTTTCGCTTGTAAATTGGAATTTACAAAATTTTACAAAAAGGTGCCCCGGGGGACCTTAAGCATTTGAAGTTAAATTTTTAAATTTGTTTAGATTTTTAAATGATTTCTTCTAGAAGTTTAGATCAAAATATCAATAAAGTTTATATTTTAAATGAAAAATTAAAAAAAGACCCCCGGGGGACCTTCAGCCATATGAAATTGAAATGTTAACGTTTTTCTAGATTATTTATAAGACAAAAATAGAGAAGCCATTGACATTTGGTTGAAAACATTAAAAAGTTTAAATTTGTTATAGAAGTTTTAAAATAGTGCCCCTGGGGACCTTTAGCAATATGAAATTAAAATGTTTACGTTTATCTAGATTTAACAAGAGTTTTCTTACGAGTTTTCTATAGAAAGGCGTTGAAGTTCATTTTAAAATATAAAAAAAGTTTTGATTAAAAAAGAAAGAAAAGAACCCCCCAGGGGGACCTGTTGCAATAAGAAATGCAATCGTTTTAAATTCTTTCAAAATTTTCATTATAAAACATAAAGAGAAGCCTGTAAGTTCAGTTTAAACCTTAGACATATGAATTTTAAGATTTTCTTTAGAAGCCTTTGGGGGGACTATAAGCCACTAATATGAAATAATTTAAATACTTTTTTAAAACTTTTGTTAAAATCATTTTTAAACTAAAAACTTTTAAAGAAATACCAAAGGAAGGAAAGAGTCTTGACAATTGCATTTTAAGGTTTTCTTTAGAAACCCCTGGGGGGGACTATAAGCCACCAATATGAAATAATATGCAATTTTATTAGGAAATTTAAATACTTTTTGAACTTCTGTTAAATGTTTTTTTAATTAAAAACTTTTAAAGATAGAACCAAGGGAAGGGGTCTTAAAGCTCCTTTAAAGAACTTGGCTCTTAACTATTTTTAGTGCCATTCATTTTCAATTGTTTTACAAAATTCTTTTAGAAATTTTTTATGGTAATTAATTACTTTTTTGCTAAATTTTCTCTACTGCTTATAATTATTTTACAAAAAAAGTTTGTAATTTTTTTAATTTTATTATTTTTTTTTCAAAAATAAACTTTTTAACTTTTAAGTGTTATTACCACAAACAAATCTTGTTGTAAAACAATATTCTTAAAAAAAAACATTTCATTTAATTAAAAATATTATTTTTTTTTTTATACATAAACTAATAATTATTTTAAAAATAGTTTATTTTATTTAAAGAATAATTTTTCATAATTTTAATTGTTGTTTAGCATTATAGAAAAAAAAAACATTTTTCAATAAATCTTAAAAATAAAACAAAAGTTATAAATACATATTAGTTTTTATAAGTATTTTTTAATTTTATAATAAATTTTTTTTTGTTCTTAAACTAAAACTAATTATTAAATAATAAAAACAAAACAAAAAAATATAAAAATAATTATATATATAAAAATATAAAATAATTAACCTCAAAAAATTAAAAAAAAAAATAAAATTAAATTAAACAAGAAAAGCAAATCATACATTACAAAGTACGTACGTCATCAAACATTTAAAAATATAAATGAAATTAAAAATTAAAAACAAAAAAACCAACACTTACTCATATATATATTTATGGTGGATTTATAAAAAAAACAACAACAACAAGTATAATAAACATAAACCACAATGAAACCATAACTTTAATATTAAAATACTAAATAAATTATAAATTTAAGTTTAATTATTAATAATAATTAAAGTAAAAACAAACAAAAAAAAAGAAATCAATACAAAAAATAAACGTGTTTTCAATTACAAAAAAAAAAAAAAGAACAACAAATCCTTAGCTGCTCTCTCTATTATCCTTACAAGTTTGGGGCGGGTTACACAATTGCTAGCGTTTTCTCTTTTTTTATTATTACAGCTATAGCTCTACAATGTCCTTACAACTCACAGGTATTTTGTTTTTTTAAGTTTATTTATTTTTCTCTTCTATAATAATTATTAATTATCTTTTGTTTTTCTCTGTTTTTTTTTACCAAAAACGTTTTTTCCAGGCGATGCTGAGGGTCCACCGAAAAAGAAAAAAACCCGCGACTCAAATGGTAGCAATGTGAGTAGTAAAATATCGTCAAAAATTTATTATTTTTATAATTCTTTATTTTTGCAAATTTTATTTATAATCAAACTAACAAGTGTTTTTGTGTTTTGATAAATTTTGACCCCTTAAGCACCCAACTGACTCTCCTTAAACACATGTTAGGTTACACTTATAGACCCTTTTTTTGTTCTTAGTTATATACAATCTAGTATAACATGTTGTCTATATTCTGAAACTCTTAAAGTGTAATGTAGTTAGTTAAGTCTATAGCCTTATTTATAGTCCATTGTGTAATCAATATTCTAGTCTATAGTTTAGTCTGCAGCCTAGACAATAGTCTATGCAATTCATAGGTGTATTTTATGGTCTAGTTGGTATATATCCTATTTAGTAGCCTAAGCAATAGTCTTGTCTAAAGACTTATCGATGGTCTGATCTATAGTTCAGTTCTAGGTCTAGTTCAGTTCTAGGTCTAGTTCAGTTCTAGTTCAGTTCTAGTTCTCTTCTAAATCAGTTCTATTCTAGTTCTGTTCTAGTTCTGTTCTAGTTCTGTTCTAGTTCTGTTCTAGTTCTGTTCTAGTTCTGTTCTAGTTCTGTTCTAGTTCTGTTCTAGTTCTGTTCTAGTTCTGTTCTAGTTCTGTTTTACTTCTGTTTTAGTTCAGTTTTAGTTAGGTCTAGTTCTGTTCTAGTTCCAGGTCTAGTTCTGTTCTAGTTCCAGTTCTAGTTCAGTTCTAGTTCAGTTCTAGTTCAGTTCTAGTTCAGTTCTAGTTCAGTTCTAGTTCAGTTCTAGTTCAGTTCTAGTTCTAGTTCAGTTCTAGTTCAGTTCTAGTTCAGTTCTAGTTCAGTTCTAGTTCAGTTCTAGTTCAGTTCTAGTTCAGTTCTAGTTCAGTTCTAGTTCAGTTCTAGTTCAGTTCTAGTTCAGTTCTAGTTCAGTTCTAGTTCAGTTCTAGTTCTGTTCTAAATCAGTTCTAGTTCTGTTCTAAATCAGTTCTGTTCTAGTTCTGTTCTAGTTCTGTTCTAGTTCTGTTCTAGTTCTGTTCTAGTTCTGTTCTAGTTCTGTTCTAGTTCTGTTCTAGTTCTGTTCTAGTTCTGTTCTAGTTCTGTTCTAGTTCTGTTCTAGTTCTGTTCTAGTTCTGTTCTAGTTCTGTTCTAGTTCTGTTCTAGTTCTGTTCTAGTTCTGTTCTAGTTCTGTTCTAGTTCTGTTCTAGTTCTGTTCTAGTTCTGTTCTAGTTCTGTTCTAGTTCTGTTCTAGTTCTGTTCTAGTTCTGTTCTAGTTCTGTTCTAGTTCTGTTCTAGTTCTGTTCTAGTTCTGTTCTAGTTCTGTTCTAGTTCTGTTCTAGTTCTGTTCTAGTTCTGTTCTAGTTCTGTTCTAGTTCTGTTCTAGTTCTGTTCTAGTTCTGTTCTAGTTCTGTTCTGTTCTAGTTCTGTTCTAGTTCTGTTCTAGTTCTGTTCTAGTTCTGTTCTAGTTCTGTTCTAGTTCTGTTCTAGTTCTGTTCTAGTCTGTTCTGTTCTAGTTCTGTTCTAGTTCTGTTCTAGTTCTGTTCTAGTTCTGTTCTAGTTCTGTTCTAGTTCTGTTCTAGTTCTGTTCTAGTTCTGTTCTAGTTCTGTTCTAGTTCTGTTCTAGTTCTGTTCTAGTTCTGTTCTAGTTCTGTTCTAGTTCTGTTCTAGTTCTGTTCTAGTTCAGTTCTAGTTCATGTTCTAGTTCAGTTCTAGTTCAGTTCTAGTTCAGTTCTAGTTCAGTTCTAGTTCAGTTCTAGTTCAGTTCTAGTTCAGTTCTAGTTCAGTTCTAGTTCAGTTCTAGTTCAGTTCTAGTTCAGTTCTAGTTCAGTTCTAGTTCAGTTCTAGTTCAGTTCTAGTTCAGTTCTAGTTCAGTTCTAGTTCAGTTCTAGTTCAGTTCTAAGTTCAGTTCTAGTTCAGTTCTAGTAATCAGTTCGTTCTAGTTCAGTTCTAGTTCGTTCTAGTTCAGGTTCTAGTTCAGTTCTAGTTCTGTTCTAATATCAGTTCTAGTTCTGTTCTAAGATTCGGTTCTAGTTCTGTTCTAGTTCTGTTCTAGTTCTGTTCTAGTTCTGTTCTAGTTCTGTTCTAGTTCTGTTCTAGTTCTGTTCTAGTTCTGTTAGTTCTGTTCTATGTTTCTGTTCTAGTTCTGTTCTAGTTCTGTTCTAGTTCGGTTCTAAGTTCTGTTCTAGTTCTGTTCTAGTTCTGTTCTAGTTTGTTCAGTTCTGTTCTAGTTCTGTTCTAGTTCTGTTCTAGTTCTGTTCTAGTTCTGTTCTAGTTCTGTTCTAGTTCTGTTCTAGTTCTGTTCTAGTTCTGTTCTAGTTCTGTTCTAGTTCTGTTCTAGTTCTGTTCTAGGTCTGTTCTGTTCTGTTCTAGTTCTGTTCTAGTTCTGTTCTATTCTGTTCTAGTTCTGTTCTAGTTCTGTTCTAGTTCTGTTTCTAGGTTCTGGGTTCTAGTTCTGTTATAGTTCTGTTCTAGTTCTGTTCTAGTTCTGTTCTAGTTCTGTTCTAGTTCTGTTCTATGTTCTGTTCTAGTTCTGTTCTAGTTCTGTTCTAGTTCTGTTCTAGTTCTGTTCCTAGTTCTGTTCTAGTTCTGTTTCTAGTTCTTTTCTAGTTTCTGTTCTAGTTCTGTTCTAGTTCTGTTCTAGTTCTGGTTCTAGTTCTGTTCTAGTAGTTCTGTTCTAGTTCTGTTCTAGTTCTGTTCTAGTTCTGTTCTAGTTCTGTTCTAGTTCTGTTCTAGTTCTGTTCTAGTTCTGTTCTAGTTCTGTTCTAGTTCTGTTCTAGTTCTGTTCTAGTTCTGTTCTAGTTCTGTTCTAGTTCTGTTCTAGTTCTGTTCTAGTTTGTTCTAGTTCTGTTCTAGATCTGTTCTAGTTCTGTTCTAGTTCTCTTCTAGTTTCTGTTCTAGTTCTGTTCTAGTTTCTGTTCTAGTTCTGTTCTAGTTCTGTTCTAATTATGTTTTAGTTAGGTCTAGTTCTGTTCTAGTTCTGTTCTAATTCTGTTCTAGTTCTGTTCTAGTTCTGTTCTTGTTCTGTTCTTGTTCTGTTCTAGTTCTGTTCTTGTTCTGTTCTAGTTCTGTTCTAGTTCTGTTCTAGTTCTCTTCTAGTTCTGTTCTAGTTCTGTTCTAGTTCTGTTCTAGTTCTGTTCTAATTCTGTTTTAGTTCTGTTTTAGTTCAGTTTTAGTTAGGTCTAGTTCTGTTCTAGTTCCAGTTCAGTTCTAGTTCAGTTCTAGTTCAGTTCTAGTTCAGTTCTAGTTCAGTTCTAGTTCAGTTCTAGTTCAGTTCTAGTTCAGTTCTAGTTCAGTTCTAGTTCAGTTCTAGTTCAGTTCTAGTTCAGTTCTAGTTCAGTTCTAGTTCAGTTCTAGTTCAGTTCTAGTTCAGTTCTAGTTCAGTTCTAGTTCAGTTCTAGTTCAGTTCTAGTTCAGTTCTAGTTCAGTTCTAGTTCAGTTCTAGTTCAGTTCTAGTTCAGTTCTAGTTCAGTTCTAGTTCAGTTCTAGTTCAGTTCTAGTTCAGTTCTAGTTCAGTTCTAGTTCAGTTCTAGTTCAGTTCTAGTTCAGTTCTAGTTCAGTTCTAGTTCAGTTCTAGTTCAGTTCTAGTTCAGTTCTAGTTCAGTTCTAGTTCAGTTCTAGTTCAGTTCTAGTTCAGTTCTAGTTCAGTTCTAGTTCAGTTCTAGTTCAGTTCTAGTTCAGTTCTAGTTCAGTTAGTTCAGTTCTAGTTCAGTTCTAGTTCAGTTCTAGTTCAGTTCTAGTTCAGTTCTAGTTCAGTTCTAGTTCAGTTCTAGTTCAGTTCTAGTTTCTAGTTCAGTTCTAGTCAGTTCTAGTTCTGTTCTAGTTCTGTTCTAGTTCTGTTCTAGTTCTGTTCTAGTTCTGTTCTAGTTCTGTTCTAGTTCTGTTCTAGTTCTGTTCTAGTTCTGCTCTAGTTCTGTTCTAGTTCTGTTCTAGTTGTGTTCTAGTTGTGTTCTAGTTGTGTTCTAGTTCTGTTCTAGTTCTCTTCTAGTTCTGTTCTAGTTCTGTTCTAGTTCTAGTTCTGTTCTAGTTCTGTTCTAGTTCTGTTCTAGTTCTGTTCTAGTTCTGTTCTAGTTCTATTCTAGTTCTGTTCTAGTTCTGTTCTAGTTCTGTTCTAGTTCTGTTCTAGTTCTGTTCTAGTTCTGTTCTAGTTCTGTTCTAGTTCTGATCTAGTCCTGTTCTAGTTCTGTTCTAGTTCAGTTATAATTTTAATCTAGTTCTGTTCTATTCTGTTTTAGTTCTATAGCAGTTTTGTTCTAGTTCCATTTTAGTACTGTTTGGTTCCATTCTAATTCAGTTCTAGTTAAGATTTGGTTCAGTTCTAGTTGAGTGAACCAGATCAGCTCAAGTTTAGTTATACTTCAGTTCTAGTTTACTTCTACTTCAGTTCCATTTAAGATCTGGATTAGTTATAGTTAAAGTCTGGTTCCGTTCTAGGTTTGTTTTAATTCCAGTTATTTTTTAAATTTTAAACTCTTACAATACTTTCATTAAAATTGTAATCATGAATTTTTAGGTTCCTAATTTTACATAAAACTTTAACATTTAAACCTTTCCTTATAAATTGTACGTCCATATTCGTTAAGTATTTTGAAATTGTACAAAAAAAGAAAATGAATGTAAATTCCTCTTTCATAAATTCATACCATAAAATGTCTCATGATATCATATCTATATAACGCTTTATTATAGGTAAATAATTTAATAACAACGCCCACAAGTGTAACTGGTAGTGGTGGTATGACCACAACAACTGCTTCAGCAGCGGGAGCAACAACAACAGCAGCAGCAACAGTTAATACTGTACCATCACTAAATTTAACTGCTAATGCTACGGTACAAGGAGCAGCCGCAGCAACAACAACTATACCACCGACATTAACCTCACAACAACAGCAGCAGCAACAGTTAGCAGCAGCAGGTGTAAATAGTCAGTCAACAAGTGATTTATTAGGAACACTTGCTGGCAACAATACAAATACCAACAGCAACAGTAATTTAACAAATGAACCTCCTCTAACGGCAGCAACAGCAGCAAGATCATCATCACAACAACAATCAAGAAGCCAATCAAGATCATTGCAACAAGTGACGGAAATGTGTAAGTTGAAAGAGAAAAGATGCACAATAAAGAAATATCTCTTTTTAGTTTTTTTAAGTTTTTCTTTTATTCATAATACGTGACTAATCTTTAATTATTTTTTTTTGTTTTAAATTTCATATTTTCATTTACGAAACCCCTTTCCATAATTCCCAACTATTCCTTAAACCATAAAATGAATTGACAATTGTTTTTGTGGCTGTGTTTGAAACCCCGTTTAGTAAGAGTTGTAACACCAACGTCTGCAGCTAATAATAGCAATACTTTAGATGCAGCAGCAGCTTTAAATAACAATAATAACAACAATCCAAACAAAACACCTTCAGCAACGCCTACTTCACAAACAACACCAACCACTGTTCCAATTCCAGTAACCGCCAGTGCTGGTGGCACAACACTAACACCGTTCAGTAGTGCCACCGGTGTTGGTTCTGTGATTGGTGGTGGTATGGGTGTTGTTGGTGGAGCTAGTACTGGTGACAGCACTAATGGACCAAGTGACTTGACAATGCCACCAAATTCTGCTGTCGGTGTGAATGCAACCGCCGCTGCAACAGCCCTCACCACGGCCTTAAGTGGTGGAGGAGGTATGGGCGGTGTTGGCAATAATAATAGTGGTGGTGTTGCTGTCTCAACCGTGGCGAGTACCGCTGGTGGAGCCAGTGCTACGACCAGCACGAGCAGCAGCAGCAACAGCACAAATATTAGTAGTGTTGTTGGCGGCGGCGGCGGTGGTGGCATACGCATCGCTAGTAATTTACACAAACTGCCTAACGAAGTGGCTGATACGCCCGCCAGCATTGGTGGAGCAGCAGCCACCTCGCAGGTAACGACCACAGCCTCCTTGGCTGCAGGACTTAAACAAATTCCACAATTTGATGACCCTGTTGAACAGTCGCTTGCTTCATTGGAACAGCCGTCTCTGTTGGCTCCGCCACCAACCAGTAAAAGCGCTGCTGATAATTTCCTAATGGCTGCTGCTGGTATTAATGCTGCCCATTTAATGCAACAGCAAACCACACAACAACAACAACAGCAGCAGGTGTTTGAGAGCAGCCAGCAGGCTCAAGCCAGTCATGCCAACAACCAGCATCATGTGGAATTCATGAATGAATTGTTGTCGAAAGGTGCCGCCGCTGCTGAGAATGTGCCCGGCATGAATGGCAATCACTTCCCCTTAATGCAGTTCGGTTTGATGGAGGGTCTCAACTCCATGATGCAGCAGCAATTTCAACAGGCTGTGCAACATCAGCATGCGCACAACAATGGCTACAATATGGCCGATGTAGCCGCCTCCAATGCCTTGGATAGTTTGGGCTTGGGTCTGGGTCTACCGCATGGCGCTGGAGCGGGTGGTTCTTCGATATTTGATCAGCTGCCGGGACGCAATGATAATCATTTGCTGGCCATGATGATGAGTAGCGGAGCAGCTGGTTTACCGGGCAATTTATCTTTAGGTGGGCCCCCAACTGGAGGCCCTTCAGTAGGCGGTAAGAAAGATTCAAATACGAATAGTGTGCTGGGTCATCTTGATCCAGCGCTACAGTCTTGCAATAAACTGCTTATTACGCCCAAACCCATAGAATCCATGATGCCTAGTCCGCCCGACAAGAGACCGCAACAGTCACAACAACAACAGCAGCAACAGGCATCGGGCGTGCCACCTCCCCAACAATCGCCCTCCGATTTGAAAATACCCTCCACAGCCGGCATGTCCGCCGGCGTTGGCGGCGGTAATCAAGTCAATTTTGCACAAGCATTCAAAACCCATGAACAAAATGTTAAAAATCCCAGTTCGTGGTCTATACTCGCCTCGGCGGGTTCACCACAAAACACCCCCACTTCGAACAAAACCAAACCTGCCATGGACTCATTCCAGCAATTCCGTAATAAAGCCAAAGAGAAGGCCGATCGCCAAAAGCAGCTGGAGGCCGCAGAAAAGGAGAAAGAACAAAAACGCCAAAAAGAAGCGGCCGAAAAGGAGCAGCAACGTAAACAACATCACTCCAAATCTTCGCATATGGTTGGGGTGGGTGGCGGTTCAAATTCCAGCAGTAGTGGTGGTAATGGCAATGGCAGTACGGGTGTTAATAGTTTAGCCTCACAGCTAAGTGCCACACATCATCAGTCTGTGTCGGCTGCTGCGGCGGGAGTACAACCACATGCTCATGGCGGGAGCAGCAGTACGGCTCATTTGGCAGCCTCCATAATGGATGTTATGGAAAGTGGGAGGTGAGTTCTATTTAGATTTTGTTGAAATAGAGAAAAGAATTTTAAAGCATTTGCTGTTTTTTTAATTTTGCAGAAAAAGTGTACATGACATTCAACCCTCCTTGTCGCGAGTGGTTATGATTTAAAGGCTTCACCCAAGGGCAGTGGTTCACCAGCTGGCGCTGCTCAACATCACCACAAGATCGTGCTTGCTGCTAAGCGCGCGGAATTAAGACGCATGGAACAAGAACGTAGAAGACGAGAGGCGGTAAGTTTTAAAATTAACAAAATTCAAAACTCTAAATATGTAGTTCTATTTATTTCAGTTTTAATTCAGTTCTAGTTCTATTTTAGTTCAGAATTCTGTTCAGTTCTAGTTCATTCTAGTTCAGTTCTAGTTCTAGTTCAGTTCTAGTTCAGTTCAGTTCTAGTTCATTTCTAGTCAGTCTAGTTCATTCTAGGTTCAGTTCTAGTTCAGTTGTCTAGTTCAGTTAGTTCTAGTTCAGTTCTAGTTCAGATTTCTAAGTTCTAGTTCAGTTCTAGTTCAGATCTAGTTTCAGTCTAGTTCAGTTCTAGTTCAGTTCTAGTTCAGTTCTAGTTCAGTTCTAGTTCAGTTCTAGTTCAGTTCTAGTTCAGTTCCAGTTCAGTTCTAGTTCAGTTCTAGTTCAGTTCTAGTTCAGTTTTAGTTCAATTCTAGTTCAGTTTTAGTTCAGTTCTAGTTCAGTTCTAGTTCAGTTCTAGTTCAGTTCTAGTTCAGTTCTAGTTCAGTTCTAGTTCAGTTCTAGTTCAGTTCTAGTTCAGTTCTAGTTCAGTTTAGTTCAGTTCTAGTTCAGTTCTAGTTCAGTTCTAGTTCAGTTCTAGTTAAGTTCTAGTTCAGTTCTAGTTCAGTTCTAGTTCAGTTCTAGTTCAGTTCTATTTCTATTCTGTTCAGTTCAGTTCTAGTTCAATTCTAGTTCAGTTCTAGTTCAGTTCTAGTTCAGTTCTAGTTCAGTTCTAGTTCAGTTCTAGTTCAGTTCTAGTTCAGTTCTAGTTCAGTTCTAGTTCAGTTCTAGTTCAGTTCTAGTTCAGTTCTAGTTCAGTTCTAGTTCAGTTCTAGTTCAGTTCTAGTTCAGTTCTAGTTCAGTTCTAGTTCAGTTCTAGTTCAGTTCTAGTTCAGTTCTAGTTCAGTTCTAGTTCAGTTCTAGTTCAGTTCTAGTTCAGTTCTAGTTCAGTTCTAGTTCAGTTCTAGTTCAGTTCTAGTTCAGTCTAGTTCAGTTCTAGTTCAGTCTAGTTCAGTTCTAGTTCAGTTCTAGTTCAGTTTTAGTTCAATTCTAGTTCAGTTCTAGTTCAGTTCTAGTTCAGTTCTAGTTCAGTTCTAGTTCAGTTCTAGTTCAGTTCTAGTTCAGTTCTAGTTCAGTTCTAGTTCAGTTCTAGTTCAGTTCTAGTTCAGTTCTAGTTCAGTTCTAGTTCAGTTTCTAGTTCAGTTCTAGTTCAGTTTCTAGTTCAGTTCTTTCTAGTTCAGTTCTAGTTCAGTTCTAGTTCAGTTCTAGTTCAGTTCTAGTTCAGTTCTAGTTCAGTTCAGTTCTAGTTCAGTTCTTCTAGTTCAGTTCTAGTTCAGTTCTAGTTCAGTTCTAGTTCAGTTCTAGTTCAGTTCTAGTTCAGTTCTAGTTCAGTTCTAGTTCAGTTCTAGTTCAGTTCTAGTTCAGTTCTAGTTCAGTTCTAGTTCAGTTCTAGTTCAGTTCTAGTTCAGTTCTAGTTCAGTTCTAGTTCAGTTCTAGTTCAGTTCTAGTTCAGTTCTAGTTCAGTTCTAGTTCAGTTCTAGTTCAGTTCTAGTTCAGTTTCTAGTTCAGTTCTAGTTCAGTTCTAGTTCTAGTTCTAGTTCAGTTCTAGTTCAGTTCTAGTTCAGTTCTAGTTCAGTTCTAGTTCAGTTCTAGTTCAGTTCTAGTTCAGTTCTAGTTTCAGTTCTAGTTCAGTTCTAGTTCAGTTCTAGTTCAGTTCTAGTTCAGTTCTAGTTCAGTTCTAGTTCAGTTCTAGTTCAGTTCTAGTTCAGTTCTAGTTCTAGTTCAGTTCTAGTTCAGTTCTAGTTCAGTTCTAGTTCAGTTCTAGTTCAGTTCTAGTTCAGTTCTAGTTCAGTTCTAGTTCAGTTCTAGTTCAGTTCTAGTTCAGTTCTAGTTCAGTTCTAGTTCAGTTCTAGTTCAGTTCTAGTTCTAGTTCTAGTTCAGTTCTAGTTCAGTTCTAGTTCAGTTCTAGTTCAGTTCTAGTTCAGTTCTAGTTCAGTTCTAGTTCAGTTCTAGTTCAGTTCTAGTTCAGTTCTAGTTCAGTTCTAGTTCAGTTCTAGTTCAGTTCTAGTTCAGTTCTAGTTCAGTTCTAGTTCAGTTCTAGTTCAGTTCTAGTTCAGTTCTAGTTCAGTTCTAGTTCAGTTCTAGTTCAGTTCTAGTTCAGTTCTAGTTCAGTTCTAGTTCAGTTTTAGTTCAATTTTAGTTCAGTTCTAGTTCAGTTCTAGTTCAGTTCTAGTTCAGTTCTAGTTCAGTTCTAGTTCAGTTCTAGTTCAGTTCTAGTTCAGTTCTAGTTCAGTTCTAGTTCAGTTCTAGTTCAGTTCTAGTTCAGTTCTAGTTCAGTTCTAGTTCAGTTCAGTTCTTAGTTCTCAGTTCTAGTTCAGTTTCTAGTTCAGTTCAGTTGTCAGCTAGTCAGTTCTAGTTCAGTTCTAGTCAGTTCTAGTTCAGTCTAGTCAGTTCTAGTTTCAGTTCTAGTTCAGTGTCTAGTTCAGTTCTAGTGCAAGTTCTAGTTCATTCGTTCTATTCAGTTCTAGTTCAGTTCTAGTTCAGTTTAGTTCTAGTTCAGTTCTAGTTCAGTTCTAGTTCATCTAGTTCTGTTCTAGTTCTAGTTCATTCTTTAAGTTTCAGTTCTAGTTCAGTTCTAGTTCAGTTCTACTTCACAAGTTCTACTTCAGTTCTGTGCATTTCTGTTTATTTTCTAGTTCTGTTCTTTTTAAGTTTTCAATTTGTTAACAGTTGTTTAATAATTTTTTTTTTGCCTTTTACAGAGAGCTGGTCACATCGATATGAATATGCAACGTGATTTAATGGCAGCCTTTGAAGAATCACTTTAATATATGGCTAAATAACTTTCATTGTGAGAAAAATTGTTGAAATATCTCTTGTCATTTTTTAAACATTAAAAAAAAAAACTATATATAGTATATAACATAAAAATATTATATTATGAAACTTAAAATTAATTTATAGAAAACACACACACAACTAATATAATTAATAAAACAAAAAAACCAACAACTAATTGTACTAAGTTTATAAATAAATAGACGAAAAGTTAGAAAACAAAGAAAAAAGAAATACTTTAAAAAATTAAGAAAAATTTACACAAAGTAAAAGGAAAAAAACAAAAACTATTTATAAATAAAATTAATAAATTTAAATAAAAAAGGAAAAACAAATAAATATTGTTTAAGAAAAAATAACGAGTAAAACAGTGAAAAAACAATCAACACTAAATTAAATTAAATTTAAGCCAGAAAAAGAGCAAGAAAGAATAAGGAAAGAGAAGGCAAGAGAAGAAGAAGACACACACAGTTTAGAACAACAACAGTAACAACAACAAAACATAGTTCAACGAAGTTTAATAAGAAGCAAACACATGGAGTAAAATTATTTTAAAAGTTTTTAGTTTTATGTTTTTTAATAATTTTAATTATTATTAAAAAACAGCATCGTTATTTAATTGTAATACTTTTAAAACAACAACAATATTTAAAAACAACATACTTTATTATTTTTTATTATTATTAAATAAATGGCATAATTTCCTTTCTTATTATTATTATTATTATATTATTATTATTACTATTAATTAACTTTTGTAAGTTTAATAAATACAATTTTTTATATTATTTACTTATTTTTTATTTAATATAATTTAAATTTAAATAAATTATTGTTTATTTTCTTTTTTTTTAAATAAAACAAAAACAGAAACCATTTCTTTAATAAATAATTAAATAAATAATAAAAAACAAAATAAAAATAAACATAAATGTATTAGTAGTAAACTACTTTTATTGTAATATTATTATTATTATTATTATTATTATAAAATTAAAAAAAATATATATAACAAAAACAAACACAAAACAAAACACTTGTAATTATTATTATTATTAAATAAAAGAAAAAAAACTCCCTTTATAAGTAAAAAATCGTAAAAATAACTTTAAAGACTCCACATCTTTAAACTACTTATAAAACATATTAATAATAAATATAAATATATTAAAAAAAGTAAACAAACTTAAACTTATAAATATTATCTAAAAAAATCCCCATAAAACTTAATAATTCTCGTTATTTACTTTATTTTTTTTTAATAATTTTATGTTTTTTATAAAAAAATATTATTTTTTCCCTACAACTTAAGAAAAAACATCATTTTCTTTTCAAAGTAAAGTTTTTTTAAAGAAAAAAAAAACAATAATCTATAAAAAACACCAATAAATTAATAAAACATAAACAAAAATCTTAACACCCTCAACCCCTTCAAAGAAAACTTTAATATTTATAAAAAAATATTTTAGAAAAACAAACCAAATCCCAACCCTGTAATTGAAAAAAACCCTTTTAATCGTAAAATACAAATTTTTCTCTAAAAAATATAAAACATTTTGTGAAAAAACCATAAGAAAACCTTCCCATAGTTGAATGAAACATCATGTTGTAATAAATAACTAAAAAAAGAAGAAAAATAAAAAATAAATAAAAAATAAAAAAATAAACTTAAAAAAAAAAAACAAAAACAACTTAATCTATCTATAACCATCCATAATTATAGTAAAAAAAAGATGAACAATTCAAGAAGAACCACAAAAAAATATATAAAAAAATTTGAATTAAATTATAAAACAAAAAAAGCAATTCATTTTACTTACACAGGACAACAAAAAGTTTTAAACCAGAGATCTAATTTCTATTTTTCTAAAGGATTCACATCTAACCCCAGAATCTGCCTTGAATACATTGAAAAAGAATTTTGAGTTCAAATTCTGATTCAGCACAACTCAATCCTATCCCTAAAAGTAAACAGTAGACTTCTCCGTGTTGTCTATAGGGGCACCTTTGTAGGTGCAGTTTGGAGTTCTTATTGGGTTTATTGGTAACAGCACTTTTAATTTTGAAGATTACAACATTAGCGTCGAAATAAGGCATGTCTTTGAATTTGGCAAGTCTACACTTTGAGTTCTGGGCGATACCGACCATAAGCAGAGTGCGCTTAGATTTCTATTCCCTGAGTTCTAGTTCAGTTCTAGTTCAGTTCTAGTCTAGTTCTAGTCTAGTTCAGTTCTAGACTAATTCAGTTCTAGACTAGTTCTAGTTCAGTTCTAGTTCAGTTCTAGTTCAGTTCTAGTTCTAGTTCAGTTCTAGTTCTAGTTCAGTTCTAGTTCAGTTCTAGTTCAGTTTTGCTTCAGTTCCAATTCAGTTATAAATCAGTTTTACATCAGATCCAGTTAGGTTCAGTTCTTGTTTTGTTCTAGTTCGATTCTAGTTCAGTTTTACATCAGTTCCGGTACAAATACATTTCTAGTTCGGTTATAATTCAGTTTTACATCAGTTCCAGTTCTGTTACACTTATGTTCTGGTTCTGTTCTACTTATGTTCTGGTTTTGTTCTAGTTCTGTTCTAGTTCTGTTCTTGTCCTCTTCCAGTTCTGTACTAGTTCTGTTCTAGTTCTGTTCTAGTTCTGTTTTATTTATGTTCTAGGAAATCCTGGCTATATGGAAATCCGTGGATATTATTAAGACACACATTACTAGGGGGTCGGAAGTGACGATTTATGTTGATAGTCAGGCAGCTCTTAAAGCTTTGCAGTGTAAAACGTTACATTCTAGCTTGGTAAACAGCTGCAAAAGAGACCTGGAAGGGTTAGTCAGGTTATACACACTCAGGCTGTGTTGGGTACCGGGACACTGTGACATACAGGGTAATGAGATTGCAGATGAATTGGCCCGACAGGGCTCGGATCTGGAGCTCGATAGAAGGGTCAGTTCGGTAAAACCCCCCATTTGTCATTACTATAGGCTAATTTCCGAATATTTCAGAAAAACCACCAACCAATCCTGGTACAGTAGACTGGATTGTAGGGTTTCTAGGACACTATGGCCGAAGTTAAATCCAAAAGCAACCAGAATGCTATTAGGATTGGACAGGAAGAGTACAAGGATTTTAGTAGGGGTAATAACCGGACACTGCTCAATTGGAGCCTTTAGGGGTAATGGGGTCGGTAACACACAGGATTTTTGCAGGTTGTGTGAGGACGAAGAAGAACTGGAGACAGTAGAGCATATTTTATGCCACTGTCCCAGATTACAGAGTCTGAGACTGAAATGGCTAGGTAAAGGATTCCACGATGAACTAGGAGATGTAGCAGGGTGTAACCTAGGCGACATTATGGGCTTCATTAGGGGAACTTTTTGGATTTTCAGTTAATAGACAATTAAGGATTTCCCTTCCATGACCACTTCTTTTTTCTGTTCTCTTTTTGGAGGGAAAATCTCACTCTTCTCATCTCTCCTTTCTTCTGTTTTCTTCTGTTTTCTCCTTGTTCTTTATTAAAGGGATTCACAATGGACCATTGGGTCTCCGAGTGGATGTATACATTGATATACAACCCTTTTAAACTAAACTAAACTATGTTCTAGTTCTGTTCTAGTTCCGTTCTAGTTTTATTCTAGTCCTGTTCTAGTTCTGTTCTAGTTCTGTTCTAGTTCTGTTCTAGTTCTGTTCTAGTTCTGTTCTAGTTCTGTTCTAGTTCTGTTCTAGTTCTGTTCTAGTTCTGTTCTAGTTCTTTTCTAGTTCTGTTCTAATTCGGTTCTAGTTCTGTTCTAGTTCTGTTCTAGTCCTGTTCTAGTTCTGTTCTAGTTCATTTCTAGTTCTGTTCTAGTCCTGTTCTAGTTCTGTTTTAGTTATATTCTAATTCTGTTCTAGTTCTGTTCTAGTTCTGTTCTAGATCTGTTCTAGTTCTGTTCTAGTTCTGTTCTGTTCTAGTTCTGTTCTAGTTCTGTTCTAGTTTTGTTCTGTTCTAGTTCTGTTTTAGTTCTGTTCTAGTTCTGTTCTAGTTCTGTTCTAGATCTGTTCTAGTTCTATTCTAGTTCTGTTCTAGTTCTGTTCTAGTTCTGTTCCAGTTCTGTTTTTAGATCTGTTCTAGTTCTGTTCTAGTTCTGTTCTAGTTCTGTTCTAATTTTGTTCTATTCTGTTCTAGATCTGTTCTAGTTCTATTCTAGTTCTGTTCTAGTTCTGTTCTAGATCTGTTCTAGTGCTGTTCTAGTTCTGTTGTAGTTCTGTTCTAGTTCTGTTCTAGTTCTGTTCTAGTTCTGTTCTAGTTCTGTTCTAGTTCTGTTCTAGTTCTGTACTAGTTCTGTTCTGTTCTAGTTCAGTTCTAGTTCAGTTCTAGTTCTGTTCTGTTCTAGTTCTGTTCTAGTTCTGCTCTACTTCTGTTCTAGTTCTGTTCTAGTTCTGTTCTAGTTCTAGATCTGTTCTAGTTGTGTTCTAATTCGGTTCTAGTTCTGTTCTAGTTCCGTTCTATTCTAGTTCTGTTCTAGTTCCGTTCTAGTTTTACTCTAGTTCTGTTCTAGTTTCTAGTTCAGTTCTGTTCTAGTTCTGTTCTAGTTCTGTTCTAGTTCTGTTCTAGTTCTGTTCTAGTTCTGTTCTAGTTCTGTTCTAGTTCTGTTCTAGTTCTGTTCTGTTCTAGTTCTGTTCTAGTTCTGTTCCAGTTCTGTTCTAGTTCTGTTCTAGTTCTGTTCTAGTTCTGTTCCAGTTCTGTTCTAGTTTAGTTCTAGTTCTATTCTAGTTCTGTTCTAGTACTATTCTAGTTCTGTTCTAGTTTTATTTTAGTTCAGTCCTGGTTCCGACAGCACCAGAAGATACCTTTCTTAGGTCTATTCCCATTTCTTCAATGACAATTTACTTTGCCAATATAGATTTATGTAGACTTTCAGAGCAACGGAAGATCTCCCTTTTTGACCAGTAATTAGCTGAACACCTATCTAGGGGGAAACATACACATTGGTGAGATGTCAACCTTATGCTAAACTTCGCCGCTCCCGCTTTCTATTTGTTAGCTCTTAAAAACGATTACTTGATTCACTATCTTATTGTTGACCACAACTTCAAGATTTCTGTGCTGGTCTATTACGAATTCGTGAGCCCAGCGTTTACTACATAGCGCAGATTGTTCCGGTGTCTTCTCTTGGCTACTTTGATGGCGTA